AATTAAGTGATTACAAATAACCAATGGCGAAATTATAAAAGGAAAATATGACGGATGAATTATTAACTATATTGACAAACTAAAAAACAATGAAAATGATACTTTAGTTCTTTATATCACAGGGAATAAAAATCAAAAATATGAAATTCTAAAAATTTTGGGAGCTTGAAGATTAAACTGAACCAATTTCAAAAATAACAAAAAAGCAGATGAAAGATCTGATTTATCTTTTGTATGAATCACTAACTGACCCTACTTCGAAAAAAATCCACAAGGACAATTGAAAGTAACACATCACCCGTTTACTTTGCCTATATTTCAAGATTGCGATAGGGACAACAACCCTTTAAGTTGAAAATCTTCGGGATACGATTTAGTGTTAAATGGGGTTGAAATTGCGTCTGGTAGCGAAAGGATAACTGACCCGAACTTACAAAAAGAAATCTTCCGACTCCTGGGTCTTTCTGAACTGGAGACACAAGAAAATTTTGGTTGATTTTTGGAGGCTCTTCAATACGGAGCTCCGCCACATTTAGGAATAGCTATTGGATGGGAACGATTAATGAAAGAGCTTTTAAATCTATCTTCAATTAGGGAAGTGATTGCATTTCCTAAAAATTCTCACGGAATATGTTCTATGAGTTCGCGAACAAAAGAATGTTAAGTTAATCTCAACTCTAATCATCTCTGAAGGACCGAAAATCGTTAAATGATATACAAAAAAAATGAAAAAATAGATGAGAAAGAGAAGGCACTTATAAATTTCAAGATGATTTAAAAAAGCTTAAGTATTATGTATTAGATATGTTTCCCTACCCCTCTGGGGCGGGTCTCCATATAGGTCATGTGAAAGGTTATTTAGCTACAGACATTTTAGCGCGTTTTAAAAAAATGAAAGGATACTCTGTGTTACACCCTATCGGATGAGATGCTTTCGGATTACCCGCCGAACAATTTGCAAACGAACACAATTCAGACCCACATGACTTCACACAAAAAAATATTTCTAACTTTAGAGAGGAGCTAAAATCCCTTTTCTTTAGCTTTGACTTTACTAGGGAAATTGATAGCACTGATCCATCTTATTATGCAATCACCCAATGGATTTTTACACAACTTTATCTGCGAGGTCTCGCAAAATTAGAAAAGAAAAAAGTTAATTGAGTGGAGGAGTTGCATACAGTCTTAGCTAATGAAGAAATTTATAAAGCGGATGATGGAAAATACTATTCCGAAAGAGGAAATTTTCCGGTATCTCATAAAAAATTAACACAATGAGTATTAAAAATTACGAAATATGCTTCAGCCTTAAAGAACGATTTAAAACTATTAAATTGACCAAACAGAATAAAAACTATCCAGTCTGAATGAATAGGAGAACAAAATTCATTTGAATTTGTCCTTACATACAAAAACCACAATTTCTATCACTATGAATCTGATTTAGATCAATTGCGAGCAATAACTGGATTTTGTATTTATAAAACCTCCAAGTTGTACGATTTATTACAACTGGAAAAGACTCCTCAAGATGGAGAAACTCTACTTTTTTACAGTGACTATCAAACTATCACAAAAATTCCTATCAAATTCAGAGAAGGGGATCCGCCTACAGAAAATGAACTTCATCCTATCTACGATACTTTTTTTAAAAATAAAAGGCTGCCTTATTACATTGATGAAAAAATGCTTACTAGAAAGAAAACTTATAAGTTAACAGACTGGGTTTTTTCTAGGCAGCGATATTGAGGCGAGCCTATTCCAATATATTATGACGAGAGTGGACATTGTTTTGTCGAAGATCAGTTACCTTTAAGACTGCCTCCTTATCAAACTTTTACAACTAGAAATAATTTGTCTACTCCCCTTGAATATTATCGAGATTGAATGATCAAGGATCCTGGTTTTTTTAGAGATCCAAATACTATGCCCAACTGGGCAGCTTCATCTTGATATTTTTTAGCATACCTCTTAAGAGTTGAAGGGGGATATCTCCCCCTATGAACTCAAAAAGCTAGAACCTTAATAGAAAGGTGAATGCCTGTAGATCTTTATATTGGTGGACAAGAACATGCAACAATGCATTTAATCTATGCTCGATTTTGATATAAAGTGATTTGTGAAATCCTAAATTTAAAAACAATTTCAGAACCTTTTAAATATTTAGTAAATCAGGGGATGATTCTAGGAGAGGATGGTAAAAAAATGTCAAAATCAAAGAAAAATTATGTTTCTATTTCTTCTTTACTGAACAAATATGGTGGTGATGAAATCCGACTGAGCGTAGCTTTTTTAGGTCCATTAGAACTAACTCAATTTTGGGACAATAGGCAACTTCCTACCTTCAAATCATGATTAGAGAAAATCTATCAATATTTTTTATCCATTAAAGATTCTCTAAATGATCAATATCTAGATAAAGAAAAGCTGCTGCAATTTCTTGAAAAAGTTGAACTGTCAATAGCCTCTTTCAAATTTAATGTACTTGTCTCAGAAATGATGATTTATTTTAAATATCTCAAAAATAAGCCCATGAAAAATATAAGGGAATCTTCAGTATTTATACAAATTCTTTCATTACTTGCTCCAGCAGTTTCTGAAGAAATTTGAGTTGAAATATTAAATAATAAGAATTCTGTTTACTTATCTAATTGACCTAATTTATCAGACAATACTCACATTAAATTCTGCACTTATTCAATACAACTAAATAACAAACATCAATTAAATATAAAAATTCCAAACTCACACAATGATACTGAAGAAATTTTTCAAATATTTCAAAAAACAGAAGAATATAAAAAAATAACTCTCAATAAAACTCTCAAAAAATATATAGTTATACCTAAAAAAGTAATTAATTTAATTACTAATTAAGAAAATATTTGAAATTTAAAAATTATTTATATCCTGAGGATTTTTATTTTGCAAATAACCAAATTATGCTAACTAAATTAGGTCGCACAAAATCCATTAAATATAGAAAAAAAATAACAGGTTCTAGAATTGCTGCTGTTATCGGAAGAAATAAATATATTTCTCCTTTTCAAGTATGATGTGATATTCTAGGTTTTACTGAAAGTGAAATTGAACCTTATTTTTCAAGAGCTGGGGTGATTATAGAAAAAGTCTTATTAGAATATGCTCAAAAAGAATTAAATAGAAGCTTTACATCTTACAACTCAGATGAAATAGGATATGATGCTTTTCAAGATCATGAAATTTTTGGAGGAATACCGGATGGTGAAGAATATATTGGAAAAAAAGTTCAATCAGTAATAGAAATAAAAACTACACCTATAGATAGTTATTGTTATACATTTAAGGAAAATGAACTGAGATTAATAAAAGATAAAGATGGAATTCCCAAAGTTAGAGAATATAAAGGTAATATACATAAATGATTTTCTTTCTCAGAAAATCAATTACGAATTCCTGAAGAATATCAATATCAGTTAGCTTTATATCTCTATTTAAGACAAATAGAAACAGGATATTTTTGCATAGGTTTTTTAAATACTACTCACTATTTAAAACCTGAAACTTTTACAGCTAGACCCAAACCAGAATTAGGTAAGACTAGTCCTCAATTAGTAATTATTAATGAGATGAATATAGATTTAGAAAAATTTACTGAAGTAATTAAAGAAGCTAAAGATTGATATAGAAGATATGTAATCAAGGGGGTTAGTCCCCCTATGACTCCGCAAGATCTTAACTGAATTAGATTTGGATTTCCTGCTCTCTAATTCTTAACAGTGAATACTCTACCAAAAACGCGAAGAGTTGTTGAAACTTTTGGGAATAGATTTCTAAAAAAAATTAAGGAATATAAATACATTTGTTTATTTCTACATATAAAACCTGATTGCGATTCTTATGCATCAGTTTTTGCGCTAAGAAAATGATTAAAAAATAATTTTCCACACAAAGTGGTGGTCTTATGAATTAATCCTGATGAATTAACTAAAAACGAAAAAATTCTATTCGATTGATCCTCAAAAATAAAAACTAAATTACCTTTTGAGCAATTAAAAGAAAGTTTGGGAATTATTGTAGATACTCCCGTACAAGAAAGAGTATTAACTCAAAAACATTCACTCTGTAAAGAAACCATCATTATTGATCATCACCCCAAAATGGATTTATTAGCTCAATTAGAGCTTGTAAATCATTCTTATTCCTCTACTTCTGAAATTCTGGCAGATTTATTTTTATTCTTAGAAAGAGAAAATAAAAAATTTCTTTTTGAGCCAAAACTGGCTAAATATTTATATGTAGGAATAATTACTGACAGTAACCATTTGAAAGATAATGTTACTCCTTCCACTTTCTATATCCTCTGAAAAATCCTCTCTAGTGGTATAAATAGAAAAACAATTAATGGCTTAATCGTGGAAAATTCTTTAAATCAAAAATTATTTGATCAGGAAGTAGTAAGAAATATTCGAATTTCTTCTAATGGATTAGCATTTTCAATTGTGACTGATCGACTATTAAGAAAATATTCAATTCAAAATTATCTCCCAGCAATATCTAATCTAGAAAATATTGCAGGAGTAGAAATCTGAGTAATAATTATTTATGATAAATCTATCAAAAAATGAAAATGTTCGATTCGATCTAAGGAGTTGCCTATCGACCACATAGCTCAGCATTTCAAAGGGGGTGGACATAAGAAAAGTTCAGCGGTATTGTTCAAACATAAGTGAAAATGCTGAGACTTATTAAGTTATTTAGATAACTATTTAATTAAATGTGGATATGCAAATGTTTCAAGTGGAGAAAAGTTCAGGAGATCTTATGCTCTCCCAACGTATATCAAAGTTTCTCATACTTTAAGTCCTAAAAAGGATAAAATAATGGATTGCACCTCTTGGAATAGTACTCAAGTGATTTAAGAGGGCAGCTTGGAGAGCTGTTAGATAGAGTTTATCTCTATGCGGAGGTTTGAATCCTCTCTATTCCGCCATAATACTTTCGATAGCTAATCACTGATCGGGGGTGTAGTTCAATTGGCAGAACATCAGTCTTCAAAACTGAGTGTTGCGGGTTCGAGTCCTGCCACCCCCGCCAAAATATTTGACCACATACATACACATTTTTTTTCAATACAAACTTAAAAATTAATTAAATAAGACAGACTAAATTCACACCCCTCCGGTACGGAGGGGCAGTGAAAATCTGCTAGCTCTTGTCTTCCATTTTTGACCCCCCTTTTCTCCTTCTCTTCTTCTTTTTAATAACTAGTGCAGGAATTCTCTGACTTTCATTTTTATTTACAGAGTCCATTAAGGGAATCCTAAATAGATTTCGACTTTCTGAGAACTTTGTTGGATCAAGTTTGTTAGCCACTGGCACATCTTTAGCTGAAGCGATTAATGCTATTACTGCAGGATTTTATGATCGAGATTCAAGTCAAAATAACTCAAATGGAATCAAATACTCTTTAGATTCTTTTTATAACTTAACAGGAGCAATTTCCATTCAATTAGTTTTTTTATCCATGGTTGCAATAATTCAAAAGCGAAAATTTCAAAAAACTTATATTTCTCAATTAGAATACAGAAATTTTGCATGCTCCATTTTTCACGATAAAACAACATTATGAGCAATTTCCACAATCGAACTTTCTATTCTAACAGTATGTTTTATTTTTCCTGATATTTCGAAACACATAAAAATTGGAACTTGAAATTTAATTCCTTTTTTATTTTTTTTATTCTGGGCTCTTTACCTACTTTTATCAAAAAAAACTAATTTAAACAATCAATCATTATCAGCTCAAAACTACACTAATATATTTCAAAAATACAACAATAAAAAATTTCTATGTCTTGTTGTATTAATTTTTGTTGCATTCTCTCTTCTTGCTTTCTTCAACTTTAACTTAGTTGCAAAATTTGAAAAAGTTTTTTATCTTCCCAAGAATATAGGATTAGGAACAATTCTCAGCTTAATAACTTCTTTTCCTGAATTCGCCTCTTTCGCTTTTTTATTTTCCTCCAAATGTTATCAAACGGCATGTGCTGGATTTTTAGGATCAGCTCTATTCAATTTAGTACTGCCAGTTATAACTCAATCTATTAAAGGTAATTGATTATTTGAGTCTATTTCTACTAATAGTCAAGAACAATTGTCTTTAGTTATCTGATTATTAAGCATTGTCTTAATCAATATATTTTTCTATTTAGGATTTTCATTTACAGGAAATAAAACAATACATGCTTTAAGTAAACGAGAATATCGAAAAATCAATTTATGAGGATATTCAGTAATAGCTACATATTTATTAGCTTCTTTTGTTATACCAATATTCTTTCAACGCCCTAACGCAAAAATTACACAATAAAAACTTTTCATTCGAGATTATCATTTCCCCTAATTCTTCAGAAGAAAAATGTATTAAGCATCTAGGGCATTTAGACCGATCACTTTTTTCAATTTTTATAGAACGATCAAATGTGAGAACAATTTCAGAAACTCCTAATAATTTTGTTCAATCAGAGATATCGAAATATTTTGCTGAATATCTAGGAAGAAGTATTTTAGCTTCTTTAATACTGGATAATTTTTTATTGACAAGTTCATTTTCCAGGACAGACATCACTTCACGTCTAACTACAAAAAAATAAGATCATGCTTTCTCATTAATTTCTATCTCTGAATTTAGTGATAAACTTTCAAACTCTTCTAATCAAATTGACTCCTTTTTAGTAGGAAAATTTAAATAACTATAAACCTCATCTGCAGTCTGAGGAATAAAAATTGAAAATAATTGAAGAGAATATTTGAAAACTACTGAAATTACATTTAAACATTCTTTCTTATATTCATCCTGTTCTAATCTAGAATAAATAATCGTTTTGATTAACTCTAAATATCAAGAGGAATAAAGTTCTAAAAAATTTTGAAAATTTTTAACTACTTTTTGAAAGTTCAACTCTTCTAATTCTTCCTGAGAATTCTTTAAAAAAGTTAAGAACTGAAAATATATATATTTATTCTCTAAATTTTTCAGATTTCAATTCATGACGTAAGAGGAATTTCAATCAAATTTTGGGAGTACTGAAAGAGAAAATCTAAAAATAACATTTCTTATTTTTTTATATTGTTGTTCTATTGAGCTTAATTGACTCTCACTAAATCTAATATCCTTACATCAATTAGAGTTAGCAACTCATAGTCTAAAAATATCCATACCTGAAGAAGAAATAATTTTTAAGGGATCAATTACATTTCCCTTAGACTTAGACATTTTATGACCTTTTTCATCTAAAATGAATCCATGAGCTGCTAATTTCTTAAATGGGCAGGTTGATGTTTTAAATGCTGATAATATAGTTGAAGAATTAAATCAGCCTCTCAATTGATCACTCCCTTCTATATATAGGTCAGAAGAAAAAATTCCTTCAGCTGTCGAATTATTTAAAAAAGCAGTTCCTGAATCGAATCAAACATCAAGCACATCTTCACATTTACTAAATTGATCCAAATTTTCATCTTCCCCTAAAGCGCTACTATCTAAAAAACTAGAAATAGGTAACTCATGCCAAGAAGTAATCCCTTTTTCTAATAAGATAGAAATATTTCTCTCTAATTGGTTTATTCCTCCATAAACAGTATTGTTTTTAAAAATTACGGGGATGGGAAGACCTCACGTTCTCTGTCTAGACAAACATCATTCGCTCCGAGAAAATACGGTTTCGCGTAATTTATCCCATAATCAAATAGGATGAGAACTAACCTTACATTCAAATGCTTTTTCTATTTTCTCCTTCAAACCCTCTAAATCTAAAAATCACTGTTGAGTCGCTCTATAAAAAGTCGGTAATCCTGTTCGTCAATCTTTTGCATTCTTATGTCTAAATTTTTGAACTAAAATTAGGTTTTTAAATCTATTTAAAGCATCGATAACTAATTCCGATGCGTCCAAATAGAATTTTTCTGAAAGCTTCGGGAATTTCACTAATTTACCAAAAATACCTTTTCCGTTGATAGGACAATACGGAAATATTCCGTGCTTTTTACAAATTAAATAATCATCTTCTCCTAATCCCGGAGCTAAATGTACTAGCCCGCTCCCTTTCTCCTCCTTTAAAAATGAGCCAAAAAAGAAAGGATTACGTTCTTGAGTTAAATTATTCAAATACTTCGAATTAATCAAGTCAGAATTATCAACTTCTTCTTGTTGCTCGATTGAGCTTCAGCCTCAACCAACAAAAGGTTCAATATTAGAGATAAACTCATTAGATGCTAAGTATTTATTTCCCTGAAATACAAAAGTTGAATATCTTATTTTTGGGCTTAAAGCTATCGCTAAATTAGCCTCTAAACTGTAAGGTGTTGTAGTTCAAAGAATAACTCTAACCCCACTCAACTTTGGATTTTGAGATTCTACAATCTCTCAAAAAAAATAAATGCTATTACATTCTACTTCTTCATAAATAAGTTCTGATTCTGCCAGAGCCGTTTCTGATGAATAGGATCAAGCTACAGGCTTAAGTTCTCGATATATAAGTCCATTCCTTCACAACTCTAAGAACAGAAGGTATTCATTTTTAATGAAGTCCTGATCAGAAGTGAGGTAGTGAGATTTAAGGGGAAAGGATAAACCTAACTTTTTTAATTGAGCTTTTTGCAATAGTACTTGAGATAATGCATAGTCGTATGAGAGTTTCATTTGCTGAGCTTTAGGTAAAGACTTAAATCCCTTAATTTCTCTTTCAACTCGATTTTCTATTGGGAGGCCGTGAACATCTCACCCAGGCATGAAACTACATCTATAGCCTGAAATATTTTTTCATCTAATAACAAAATCCTTCAAAATTTTGTTGAATGCATGACCCATATGAATCTCCCCATTAGCATAAGGAGGACCATCCAATAATCTATACTCGGGTTTACTTTCATTAAGTTTCATTCTCTTTTCATAAATTAAAGAGCTCCTTCAAAAAGATAAATATCTTTCCTGTTTAGAGACCAAATCAGCTTTCATGGGAAAGTCTGTTTTTGGCAAAAATAATGTTTCCTTAAATTTCATTCTTATTACTTTACGGGTTTTCTCAATTTATAAAAATTTAAAGTAGGGAATTAGGAACGTTAAGTTAAAGCGTTAACTTTTTTCTCAACTGCTCCAGGGAAAACTTTTTGTAGTTTGCGGTCCCAGCGGAGTAGGTAAAAAAACTCTCCTCTCTAGACTAGTTAAAGAAAAAAAATTAAATCTACATATTAATGTTTCTTGTACTTCTAGAGTTCCTAGAAAGGATGAAATTGACAAACAAGATTACCACTTTATTACTAGAGACAAATTCCAAAAATTAATAAAGGAAGATAAATTTTTGGAATATGCTTACTTCTTTGGAGAATATTACGGAACTCTTAAAGGACCTCTTGAAAAGTTACTTAAATCAGGAAAAAATGTAATTCTAGAAATTGAAGTTATTGGCTTCCAACAAATTAAAGCAAAATTAAAAGATTTTGTTTCAATCTTTATTTACCCACCATCTGCCAGTAAATTAAAAGAACGATTGGAAGCGAGAAAAACAGAAAGTTCAATTGAAATAAAAGAGAGGATTGAAAAAGCAGAATCTGAACTAAAAGAAATTTCTCATTTTAAATATAAAGTGCTAAATGACTTTATAGATAGAGCTTTTCAAGAGTTATTTCAAATTTTTACTAGAGAGTTAGGAATGATTCACTAACTTTTCAAAAATGTCGGAAAAAGAGCTGAAGTATTTATGTAGGCCTCATATAAAACATCTCTTTACTGATTTGGATGGAACTCTTTTAGCGCCGAACAGTTGATTTTGAGGTAAGGTAAGAACTTTTACTCTCTCTACAATAAGTAAGTTTCTTGAGGATGGAGAACATAGTTTAGTGTTAGCCACAGGTCGTAATGTGGCTAGAGCAGAAGCTATTGCAAACTGACTTGAATTAAGATTAGGAGATTACAAAATCCCCTATTTAATTTGTCTTAACGGAGGAGTTCTATTCGATAATAGGTCAAAGAAAATAATCTATTCAAAAAGTTTCAAGTGCTCTCAAATTCTGAGTTTAATTCAATTCTTAAG